ATTTAAAGCAATTTATTTAAAAATTACAAAAGTATGGTGTCCAATGTATCTTCTAGTCAACTTCAAAAAGCACATTAATATATGAAAAAATCTTCAATTCCCCTGTGAGGTAGGTCCAGATTATTGTCCCCACTTACACATGAGGACACGAGGTACAGAGGAATTAAGCAGCAGAGCTAAGAATTGAATCAACCACTTTCCTTTCCATCTAATGTTATCAATTTGTTCCAACAGATCTTTTTGAGGATATGGAGCTTAATAAATCACTGAAACAGATGCCGAATAGGATATTTAAACTTTTTGCATTAATGTCAAAGTAGGTCCTCCAATATCTCCACTGTTGTCACAGCCATAATTCTTGTCAGGATACCAACTACATAGTCAGATTCTACATAGGCAAAGACCACAGACCTCAGTCCTCAGTTCCTAGGGAAATTACATTCATTCTTATTACCATATAGGGCTGAGGTCTAGCAGGCATTAGGTTCTTTATGTCTGTGTGATATGAACACATATCAGCTAGGAACCAGTTGGTGAATCAAACATTTACTGTGTGCAAGGCACTGTGAGAGTTCCCACCAAGCGTAGTAGAGCAAAGAAAAATCATTCTGAGATTCCGCAGGGTTAAAATTTCCTACGGATTCCTAAAATCACAGAATGTGATTAGGTGATTTTTAATTTTCTGTCCAGCTCTAGGTTCAACCCCATGATTTTATAGATAAAGAGATTGACATGTAATTTAAGTGACTTTGCTGGAGCCCATAAAATTAGATCATTTCCTCATATAGTATGAATTTGGGAGAGTCCACAGAAAGTGAAACATATTCTCATGTTGCCATCATCAAAATGAAATAGTGGGCTCTGAATCAAGACAGAGAAATTTGGAGCAAGATAAGAATATCCGTCTGTCTATTAACCTATCTATTAATCATTTATTTCTATCCTTATTTTTAGTCCACATATTACATGAACAGGTAGTGTTAATGAACCTATTTCTTTTCCATAGAAAATTTTCCTATAGTTCACCATTTAAAAGAACCTGGCCTGGCCAGTGAGGCTCACTGGTTGAGCACACTGACCCATGGACCAAGAGGTCACAGGTTCGATTCCCGGTCAGGCCACATGCCCAGGTTGTGGGCCCAATCCCCAGTGGGGGGCGTGCAGGAGGCGGCCAGTCGATGTTCTCTCTCATGGATGTTTCTATGTTTCTCGCCCCCTCCTTCCTCTCTCTCTAAAATCAATAAAGGAAAAACAATTAAAAGAAAAAAAAGAAAAAAGAGCCTGAACACCCTGGCTGGTTTGGCTCAGCAGTTGGAGTGTTGGCCTGTGGACTGAAGAGTCTCGGGTTCGATTCCCAGTCAAGGGCACATACCTGGGTTGCAGGTTTGATCCCCGACCCTGGTTGGGGTCTTGCTGGAGGCAACCAATTGATGTGTCTCTCTCACATCAACATTTCTCTTTCTCTCTCTCTCTCCCTTCCACTCTATCTGAAAAAGCAATGGAAAAATATCCTCAGGTGAGGATTTAAAAAAAAGGAACCTGAATAATTTAACAATTACTACAAAATGGATTTTTAAAGTCAAATTTTATAGGCATAAGAGGACATAATTTCAATATATTTTAGCATCTTACCACCAAATTAGCAAAAAATATTTCCTCTATATGGAACTGCTCCCATTAAATGGATGTATATAATTTCTAAATCCTCCTAAAGTAAATTCTAATGAAATATTGTTCTAGTAGTGAGGTTTTCTAAAAAATATTTTTTATGTATTGATTTTAGAGAGAGAGAAACATTGATCCCTTGTTCCACCCAGTTATGCATTAATTGGTTGATTCTTGTATGTGCCCTGACTGGGCATAGAACTAACAACCTTGGGGTATCAGGTTAATGCTCTAAACAACAGAACTACCTGGCCAGGGCACAAGTAGTGAGGTTTGATTTTGTAAGTGATGGTGTATTTGCAAACAAAATTAAAATGCTAATAATTTTCAAAGCTCTCATACATTTAAAAAATCCTATTTTCTCAAAGGCTTACAAATGTTATGGAACTTCACTCCAATTATTTAAAAAACAAGAATAAATTTCATTGAAAATGGTAGAGTACTAAGTATTAATACAGTTTGGTTAACTGATCAGACATTAGTGTTTATAGGTCATAATATGAATAGTATGTCTATTAAATACTTAAGTAGGTTTTGGGGGGGGGGCTTCTATCCAAGACCAGTTTTTCCTGAACCATGTTAAATTACATCTTCATTAGCATTAGAATTAAACTAGTTTTGTAAGTGACTGGTAGTGTCGTTCTGTAATATTTTGTCACTAATGGATCACATGATTGGGGGAAAAGAAAAAAACAGGCTTTAAATAATAAGTGGAAGAAATATAATGTATTAGTGAAATATACTTAGTTGAAAAGATGGTTTTAAATCTACTTTTTACCAATTCATCCATTCTGCTTCCTTCCACATAAAATGTTATTTTTTTTTTATCAAAAAAGACAAGGCACTTCTCCACCTACTTTTAACGTTTGTCTACAATGGTCTCTTTCCTAAATTAACATGAGGGGTTAAAAGAGAACAAAGAATAGCTTAAAAAGGTTAAAGCTTATTTCATTTTATATACAGTTTGGGTGTTTAAAGGGGTAATGGGACTAGAGCTGCATAAGGAGAAGTTATAGAAGAACCAGTTTTAACTTATAACCTTAAAGCTTTCTCAAATCAAAAACAATTTTCACAAGAATATTTTACTAACTTGATGAAAATATCCAAGTACATTCTATCCTGAGGATAAAAGAAAGGGGGAGGAATTGATAACCACAGTGTGCTCTGTGATTTCAGCATTCACTGTTGCCAATTTCACTGAAAAGAAAACCACCCCTCCCCCAAAGCACTCTGAAATCCCCAAATGCAAATCAGCCCCATCCAAAGGCAAATGGTTAGAAAAAGCAGTCATTAAAGAAAGTAAAAAAGAACACTGGGTATTTGCAGAATAGTTCAAGAAAATGAGTCAACCAGCATGATGATCAATAAATAATACATTTAAGAGTGATTAGAGTAGGTTTTAAAATTAAGTTTATACATATTGGCAAATGGTTTTTTATAACAAATACTACTGTAACTTGAATTATACTCTGTCACATCCAGATGCGTTCTATTCCTGTTCAATATTCATATCATGAAAACAATTCACTACTTTCTGCTGTTCTTTGAGTAAAATCAAGTGTGACTTATACATGGTAGAAAACATTGCTATGACCATCACATGGCTAAATTCTAAGTTTGTAGAAAAAAAAGAGATTTTATGTATTGACATTTATAAGTATATTCTATCAGTGATAATTACAAATTTTGGATTATTCTGCAGATCAATTTGGGTATTAAACTATCACAGTTTGACCATAAATCTGATGATATTAGCTGGAACATAAACCACAGATACAATTTTTCCCTGACCTTAGCTATAAAACAAGACATTTGGTACGCATTTTCAGAGGTTTCCACCTTTTCTATAAAAATACGCCTTCAGTTGTGCAACAGACAGACAAATAATATTTTTAGGCACACACGACATATTGAAAATTAGATTCTGGGTGGCATAGTAATGGGGCTCTACAGAGGGTGGTGAAAAAGTGTGTAAAAATTATAGTCGCATATCAAATAGGGTTTCTTTTTTCCCTCTCCTATTACTGGTAGAAGACTGCAGATGTCAAAGTGGGCATACATTTGAAAATTGGCTTTAAAAGGTTTGACCTTTGAAGAAATAATTGTTCTCTTCACTGGGATACATGTTTGCCTAACAAACTTTACTAAAAGCAGTAAAAGTAAGGTGATAAATAAAATATTCAGTCCCAGATAATTTTATTTTTAGCACTAGGAATGACAAATAATGCCTTTGTATAGGCACACATTTGTGGATGAATTAACACAATACAGAGCTTTCTGTTATATTAAAGGTTCAAATTCTAGAAGAATTAGAGTGTGGTGCTCTCATGTATCTTAATTGTGAAGAGAAATTCAGTATATGCACATAACCAATGAAAAGGCTACATATGGGGTGAATTTATAAACTAAAATATTTTTATCTAAATATTTATCTTTCCTTATTAAGAATACGCAAATATTTTAAAAACATCCTCAAAAGTAAGGTTAAGAATGTTTTATCAGTTATGATTCGGCCACCACATACTCTTTAGGTGCAGCTTCTCAATGAACTTTCTCCTTCCCAAAGAACATCAGACCCCAGAAGGGGATGAGCAGTGGTATTTATGGGGGTCTACACACCATCTAAGCCATCTGAAATCTTGAAAACACTTCTTACAAGTCATACTTGCATTTTCAAACGAAGGAAAAGGAAACATTAAGGGAAATAGACTAGTGAGGCTATAAAATGTGTCAGATGTCTAATTAATTCTTCTGGGGATGGAAATGAAGGACGAAATGGGAATTACTGAATTAAATGGAAAAAATCAGGTTCTTAGTTTCAGGTGCTATGCAGAATATCTCAGACAATGATTTCAATTTTAATCACCTCATTACAAAGGGCAACCCTGTCCTACAGCTGGAATTTTTAACATACTCATGGCTTTGCCATACAGCAGCATGTTAGCAGTCTGTACATTCAAAAGGATGCTTACAAACTTCATTGATATTAAAATCTACGCAGAATTGTTGGCAATACAGTAAGAGTAATATTAAATTCTGTAAACCATGGCATACCACATTTTACATTATGCAAAGAGACAGTATTTACAAGTCTTTAGAAGTTTAAATATTTTATCCACTAACATAAGTGATAATTTAGCTAAGTGCAGGACAAAACCAGTGTTATTAATTGCATGTCCTTTAAAAGCAGGAAGGAGTAAAACCATTGCTAAGAGCTACCAAAAGCTTATTTATGTATGTTCAATAAGGGATTACAGAGCATTAAAGTAGCCTAGAAAAATGATGCATATTTAGAAACAGCGAGTATGAAAATTATAAGGCGGCATGCTCAGAACAAGTTTTTTTAATGCCAACACTAATGTTTTATCTTTAATGGCAACTATACATATACACATGAATGTGTGTATTTATTTAAAAACTGGGAGTGCAAAACACAAGCCTCGTTTAACAACAACAAAAAAATGTGCAAATTTTCTTCCTAAACCAATACAAATGAAAGAATGAGGAGAATATTCTACCATTATAAAGAATAAGTTGAACACAGCAAAGGAGACCATCTTCATTCCAAAATCATCTACAAGGCACTAAGGGTAGGAAATGACAGGTAACACAGAAGTGACTGAATAAAATTCCTCAGTCAGGTCGGAATATGGGATATTTTGGTAAGAATTCTATTAGTATTACCTGCAAAATAAAAACAAACAAGAATATATTGACATAATAATTTTCATTTACTATAACTTACATATATCCCAGAAAGTCTATGCTCATTTTTCACAGGACTATATTTTTTCCTGTACTATAAAGTAAGTGAAATCTATAAAACAGTTATAAAAAGAACTTACCATACATTTTTGCTAGATTGGAAATTAAATCAAGTTGGCAAATATCAGTACTTACTATAGCTAACAGTTTTTATTACCTGATTTAAAATAACTGTTTAGATGCAGAACAGTAAATCCTATTACATTATTATATTCTTCCATACCCCTACCTTTCTTCCTTTTTCTTTTGTTAACAAAGTGGAAGGGATAAAAATTGTGCTATACAGATTAGAAAAATACCTTTATCAATATTACATCTAGCCCGGCCAGTGGCTCACTGGTTGAGAATGGACCTATGTACTAAGAGGTCGCTGGTTTGATTCCTGGTCAGGGCACATACCTGGGTTATGGGCCCAGTTCCCAGTGGGGGGGCATGCAGGAGGTGGCCAATCCATGTTCTGTCTCATCAATGTTTCTATCTCTCTCCCTCTCCCTTCCTCTCTCTCTAAAATCAATAAAGAAAAAATATTTTTTGAAAATATTAAATCTATATATTTTTCAATTAAAGACGCTATTTGGTTAAGTATTACCACCTTTTACAAGTTTTTTGTAAAAAATAAAGTGTCCATGCCCTGGATAGTTTGGTTTAGCAGTTAGAGCGTCAGCCTGTGGACCATAGAGTTTCGGGCTCGATTCCGATTAAGGGCATGTACCTTGATTGCGGTTCGGTCCCCAGCCCTGGTCAGGGTCGTGTGGGAGGCAGCCAATGGATGTGTCTGTTTCGCATTGATGTTTCTCTCTCTCTCTCCCTCCCACCCTCCCACTCTATCTGAAGATAAATGAAAAAATGTCCTCAGGTGAGGATTAAAAAAATAATAAAATAAAATAAAAAACAAAGTGTCCAAATAGATTGATTAAAACATTTTAATTAAAGGTTTGAAAATATAATAATGAAAACCTAAGATATTTATAAACTTATATAAATTCAATACATACATTTATTATAGATGTTAAATTTGTGGTCATTTGTACATTTCCCCTCCAAAACTATTCAAAGTGGAGATGGATACCATAATAATCCTTATTTTATTTATTTATTTATTTATTTATTTATTTATTTATTTATTTATTTGGTGGTACATGCCCTTAGCGGGAACTGAACCCAGGACTCTCTGGTCCGCAGGCCGATGCTCAACCGCTGAGCCAAACCAGCCAGGGCAATAAACCTTATTTTTGAAATGGAGATGGAATATTTATTGTTAAATATATACTGCATGTCAGCAACTTTAAACTTGGATACATTTCACATTCTTTTCAATGTTAATGATGCTGAATTTATCACCTTGGCTATATGTGGATTTGTTTTATGATTAAGATTGCATAACTTTTAGTAAAAAATATAGAAACTAGGGTGTCTTTATTAAAAATTAAATCTCATGCCCAGGTTGTGGGCTCAATCCCCAGTAGGGGGCGTGCAGGAGACAGCCAATGGCTGTTTCTCACATGGATGTTTCTATCTCTTCCTTCCTCTCTAGAAAAAATCAGTGAAAACATATTTTTAAAGTTAAATGTCAGCTAAGAAAAAAAGTCAAACAAATGAATTCAGAAGTCAGATTCAGTTCCTACATTAAGCAAGTTTTGACAAGATTATAGCTGTGCCCATCACCGTATGCAATGGTTTGCACCTATGTTAAAAGATTAAAGTTGTGCAATATTTTCATCTGACCACACTAGCTGAGATTTTTCTAAGACCTAAATAATTACTAGCTTTCAAGATATTTTATGTTGGCTACAAATCTAAAGAAGGTGGAAGGAAGAAAATGTTTCTATGTTTCAACCGATAAAAGTTCAGGCTGAGGAGAAAAAAGGTAGAAAGACGATTTGACAAATGATAAATATAGTAAAATATAACACTTAGGTGGGATCCAAAAATGTTTAATTAAAAAACAACTGCATACTTACATACTCCATCATATTGCTAGTTTCACATTTCCTTTTAGTCAACTTCCAGTGTAAAGCAAGCTAAGAAAGTACAGTTTGTTAAGAATTTTGATATCAATTCATACTATTACCTATACATTTGAATAAATCACTAAAAACAATCCAAGAATAAGTACAAGATCCAAAACAGCATTTTAAAATACCGGATAATGAACATATATTGAAAACTGAGTATTAATTCTCTAATCCATTCTTTTGTGGCCTGAAAAATTCCCACTTTTTTCTATTTAATGACAAAAATATATAAATGGGGAACTTATTTGCTTAAACTACTTACCTTGTGATATAATCTGTTATTTTCCCATTCTAATAACTTCTGAATTGATCTTCTGGTCTAAGAGAAAGAATCAAGACTTTGTTACAAGATGACCTGAAGAGCTTTATAAACTATGTGCATCTATATTTTTCTGCTTACTTGTAAGATATGCTCCTCTTGTTTTTCTATTAGAAATCATAAAAAACAATGTAACTGCCAGAAACTGCCAGAAGAGGAGCAATATTTTGGGTGGTTATTATACTACTGTAATAGCCTTCCCTCCCTCCCTCATATGTGAGATTTTAATATATGCATTTCAAAATGAAATATGTACAAATTGCTCTGTGTTGTGAGTCCATTCACTGAATTACTGTGAAAATATTACTAATACTGCTAGAAGTCTATTTATGAATCTAATCTACATTTTCATATACTTTGTTTCATATACAGGGTTACTTTTTTAATATACATACAATATGTATATTGCCAAGCTAATCTGATTTCTTGCAGAAAGATTATCAGAGCTCCCAGCACAAGCCTAACATGTAGTAGTCAGTCAAGGTCTATGGGTTCAATAAAGCAAGCAACATATATCAAAATCTCTACTGAAAAGAACATGTTAAAAACAGCCAGTGAGAAAACTTGTATTTAGAAGTAAAATTATAAACAAGAGAAGCAGCACTGAAGGACAGAGGTTGTGTTTCTCCACTTGGAATGCATATATTTTGTAGGGAGTAAGAAAAGTTTACAAACCTTCCAAAACAATAAAATAAAATATTACTAGGCATTTAACTTCTTATTTGAAGAGTTGTATAAGGTTTCTGATAAAAAGGCTAGTAGGCATTGTTACATTTAAAAACTAGTCTTTAAAATTAAATGATTTATAAATCAGACTATGTTTGAAATGATTTCCAGAGCACTAACACAAGACGCTATCCTACCTGTTTGACTACGTAAGTTAACAACCAATCGCAATTGTATTCAGTTCATTCACAGTGGGCCAGATCAGCAACAATACTAGCTAGAGTTTACCGTGGAGACCTTGTACTTGACAGAATTTTTCTAAACAAAATCAGATAGCTGCCCTGGCCAGTTTGACTCAGCAGTTAGAGCGTCGGCCCGTGGACCAAAGAGTTGCAGGTTCAATTCTGGTCAAGGGCTCACCTCAGTTGTGGTTTGGTCCCCAGCCCTGGTCAGGGTCATGCCAGAGGCAACTAATCAATGTGTCTCTCACACATGGATGTTTCTCTCTCTCTCTCTCTACCTCTCCCTCCCACTCTGTCTGAAAATAAATGGAAAAATATCCTTGGGTGAGGATTAAAAAAAAAAATCAGATAGTTAACTAAGAAAGAGATTGAATTAGTAATTATAAATCTTTCCACAAAGAAAAATTTAGGCCCAGATGGCTTCAATGATGAATTCTATCAAACAGTTAAAGAAGAAATAATACCGTAAATATAACACCAAGTTCTCATTAAAATACTAGCAAGCTGAATCTATCAACATATGAAAAAAATTATATATCAGGACCAAGTGGAATTTATCCCAGAAACACAAAAATAAATTGATTTAGTACATTATATTAACAGGATAAAGGGCCCTGGTCAGAGTGGCTCAGTTGGTTGAGCGTCGGCCCATGCACCAAATGGTTGTTGGTTCGATTCCTGGTCAGGGCACATGCCCACGTTGTGGGCTTGATACCCAGTAAGAGGTGTGCAGGAGGCAATTAATCGATATTTTGTTCTTGCATTGATGTTTCTATCTCTCTGTCCCCCTCCCTTCCTTTTTTCTAAAATCAATAAATCATTCTTAAAAAACAACCAAACAGGATAAAAGACAAAAATCACATGATCATATTCATTAAGATTTAGATAGCCCATCAAGATTTAGAGCCCTGGCTGGGTAGTTCACTTGGCGAGAGTGTTGTCCCAATATACCAAGGTTGTAGGTTCATTCCCTGGTTAGGGCATATACAAGAATCAACCAATGAATGCATAAATAAGTTAGCATTTAGTTAGGTTCAGAGGTTAGAGTGTTGGCTCACAGGTTTGATTCTGGTCAGGGGCATGTATCTTGGTTGTAGATTCAATCCCTGGCCCCGGTGGGGATTGTGTAGGAGGCAGTCAATCGATGTGTCTCTCTCACATCGGTGTCTCTCTCTTTCTGCCTCTCTCTCCCTCCCTCCCTTCCATTTTCTCTAAAAATCAATTGAAAAATATTCTTGGGAAGTAAAGGACTTATTTGCAGAAAACTACAGGACATTGAAAAAAGAAATAGAAGAAGATATAAAAAAGTGGAAGCACATACCTTGTTCATGGATTGGAAGAGTTAACATCATTAAAATGTCCATACTACCCAAAGCAATCTATAGATTCAATGCAATCCCCCTCAAAATACCAACAACATATTTCACAGAACTAGAATACTTTAAAAGTTCATATGGAACCAAAAAAGACCCCTAACAGCCACAGAAATCTTGGAAAAGAGGGACAAAGCAGGTGGGATCACAATACCAGATATCAGGTTATACTACAAAGCTACTGTAATCAAAACAGCCTGGTATTGGCACAAGAACAGGCACATAGATCAATGGAATAGAACAGAGAACCCAGAAATGGACCCAAAACATTATGCTCAATTAATATTTGACAAAGGAGGCAAGAGCATACAATGGAGTAAAGACAGCCTCTTTAATAAATGGTGTTGAAAAAATTGGACAGCTACATGCAAAAAATTAAACTAGACCATCAACTTACACCATACATAAGAATAAACTCAAAATGGATAAAAGATTTAAATGTGACCCGTGAATCCATAAAAACTCTAGAAGAAAATGTTGGCAACAAAATTTCAGACATTACATGCAGCAGAATTTTCACTGATACACACCTAAGGCAACAGAAACAAAGGAAAAAATGAACACATGGGACTACATCAAACTCAAAAGCTTCTGCACAGCAAAAGATACAATCATCAAAATAGAAAGGCAACCCACTGTATGGGAGAGCATAATTGCCAATGATATATCAGATAAGGGGTTAATTTCCAATAAATATAGAGTACTCATACAATTCAACAAAAGGAAGACAAAGAACCCAATTAAAAAATGGGCAGAGGAACTAAATAGACACCTCTCCAAACAGGACATATGAATGGCTAAGAGACATATGAAGAAATGCTCAACATCACTAATCATCAGAGAGATGCCAATTAAAACAACAATGAGGTATCACCTCATACCTGTCAGAATGGCTGCCATCAACAACTCATCAAAGAACAAGTGTTGGCAAGGGTGTGGAGAGAAGGGGACTCTAGTACACTGCTGGTGGGAATGCAGACTGGTGCAGCCACTATGGAAAACAATATGGTGTTACCTCAAAAAACTAAAAATTGAATTGCCATTTGACCCAGTGATCCCACTTCTAGGATTATACCCTAAGAAGCCTGAAACACCAATCAGAAAGAATATATGTACTCCCATGTTCGTAGCAGTACTATTTACAATAGCTAAGATCTGGAAACAGCCCAAGTATCCATCAGTAGACGAATGGATAAAAAAGCTTTGGTACATATACACAATGGAGTACTATGTAGCTGTAAGAAAGAAAGGTCTCTTATCCTTTGAGACAACATGGAGGGACCTGGAAAGTATTATCCTAAGCGAAACAAGCCAAGCAGAGAAAGACAAATATCACATGATCTCACTGATTTGTGGAATATAATGAACGTAACAGTCTGAGGAATTGGGTAGACCCAGAGACGTGGAAGTAGGGTACAGACTGACAACCCTCAGAAGAGGGAATGGTGGGGGGAGGGAGGAGATAAACCACAGAACTTATATGCATGTACACATAACCAATGGACATGAACAACAAAGCTGGGTATGGGGTGGGAAGGATGGGGAGGAGGGTGTCAATGGGGAAAAAAAGGAGAAACATCTGTAACAAAAATAAATTAATAAAAAATCTAAAATAAACAAATAAAAGTAAATAAAAATATTCTTGGGTGAGGATTAACTACAACAAACAAATAAACACAAAATAAGTGGAACAACAAATCAATGTTTCTCTCTCTCTCTCTCTCTCTCTCCCCACCTCTCTAAAATAAAGAGAAAAAAATATTTAGAAAAAGCAATGGACAAAAATACAATACCTATCCGTAATAAAAATCCTAAAAAGTAGAAACAAAAATCAGACAAAAGAAGAAAGAAAAAGAATCTAGTTTGGAAAAGAAAAGGTGAAACTACCTTCATTTGCAGACATGATGATCTTATATAGAGAAAACTTTAAGGAATGCACTAAAACACTACTAGAACTAATAAGCTCACCAAGTTTGCAAGAAACAAGACTGATGAAGGTAGAAATACGGATCTCGTGATTTTCACATCCTCAAGTTAACACCTGTGAATATTTTTTTTCCTTCCACATAGCCTTGCCCGCCCTGCCCTCCCCTCTGCTGGTACTCAACACCTGTGAATATTTTATATCACACTGCAAAAGGGACATTGTAGATATAATCAAAATTACTAACCATTTGGCTTTAAATGAGGGAGATTCCCTTGGCCGGTCTGGCTCAACGGTTGGAGCATCGGCCTGCAGACCAGAGAATCCTGGGTTCGGTTCCCGCTAGGGGCACGTACCAAAAATAAATAAATAACTAAATAACTAACTAACTAACTAACTAACTAACTAACTAACTAACTAAATAAATAAATGAGGGAGATTATCGTCAGCCGGTGTGGCTCAGTAATTGAGCATCGACCCATGCACCAAGAGGTCGCCGGTTCAATTGCCAGTCAGGGCACATGCCCAGGTCATGGGCCTGCTCCCTAGTGGGGGACATGCAGGAGGCAGCCAGTCTATGTTCTCTCTCATCAATGTTTCCGTCTCTCTCTCCCTCTCCCTTCCTCTCTCTCTAGAATCAATAAATAAAAAATAAAAATAAATAAAAGGGAGATTATCCTGGATTATTTTGTTGGAACTAATGCAATTATATGAGCCCTTAGAAGTGGGATAATTTGCCCTGGCCGGTTTGGCTCAGCGGTTGGAGCGTTGGCCTGTGGTCCTAAGAGACCTGGG